TTTAACTGTTTTGCATATCAATTCTTTGTTTTTCCTGTCTTCCGGAAACATCTGCAAACCCTAATTCGAAGCAAAGTTTGCCCCTTTAGAAAATTATTAATTCATATTTATATATGATAGAGGTGTAGAAAACGTAGCTTCGTAATCTTGGTTTAATCGATTTCGCATGATTTGTTTTCTGTGGAAAATAGAAAGTCCATGACCTGAAAATGCCACAAATATGATATTTTTGTTTATCCCTTTATTATTATGAGGAATTTTTTTTCTTGATTTTTTTGTTACTTCCTTGATTCATTTACTAATAAGCACCTAACTGGGGTATTTGTTTTTATTTTGAATTCCAGTAATATTTGGTGTTAATTTTGGTAATTAGCTGCCTGTTTTCTGGTGGATGGCGAAGCTTGAAGGAAGAGTTTCGTATTCTTCTTTTTCAAATGTAGAGAAGGAGAAGGACAAATTCCAGTTTGATGATGACTATAGTGATTCTGCTTGGGCTGTTCAAGAAAGTAGAAATGCAAAATCAGGCTCAAAGTCATTGAAACAAGATAATCTATACCAGTTTCGATTTGATATGGATGAGTTCCTTGATGGAGGATACGATTCAAGTGATGATACAGTTAATTCGTTTCGAAATAGTAGGCCTCCTGAGGTTAACTTGAAGAATGTATTGAGTGGGTTGTTTGCAATTATAACTGGGAGAAATAAAGCACCAAATTTTCCCGTGAATCAGCTGTTCCCAAGTTCAAATGTTTCATTTCTGGGCTCTGGAAATAATGGAGATATCTGCTTGCACTCATCTGTTTACATACCCAGTGCTCCACCGCTTCTTGAGCCAAGTGGGACTGACTATAGTGCTTACAAAGATGTTTTGGAAGCTGAGCCTCCAGAGTGGCTTCCAGATAGTTCTACCTCAGTTTGCATGCAGTGCGCTGCTCCTTTCACGGCTCTCACTCGTGGAAGACATCATTGTCGGTTTTGTGGAGGGATTTTCTGCAGAACATGTTCTAAGGGAAGGTGCTTGTTGCCTGCAAAGTTTAGGGAAAGGAATCCACAAAGGGTTTGTGATGCCTGCTATGACAGGCTTGATCCTTTGCAGGGTATTCTTATTAATTCCATTAGCAATGCTGTACAAGTGGCAAAACATGACGTAATGGATTGGACTTGTACAAGAGGGTGGCTGAATCTGCCAATTGGTATGTCTATGGAACATGAGATATACAAAGCATCCAATACATTGAGGAACTACAGCCAGGTAACATTCATTGTCTGTGTGTCTGAAACTCAATCATTCTTGTGATTTGCTCAACCATATCTCATAGCTAGTGTTCATATTTATTTTTTAGATACTTTCTTTACTGGGCCATAACAATAGGAGTCAATTTTTCATTTAGAATGTTTCTTTCTTTGGTTGAAATCTTCAACTGTTAAACAAAATTTCTATCATGTAGTGCTTCATTTCAGAAAATTCATTAGACCCATTTCTTTTATATTGAGCCACCTGCAATATGAAAATGTTTTTAAACTTTGAATGGGTTTTAATATAATAATGCTTGTTGAAATGAGCAGGTTGCTAGGTCAAATCCAGAAAGGTCCATACCCATTTCTATTCTGAAAGGAGCCAAAGGCTTAGCAATTTTAACTGTTGTTAAAGCTGGAGTTTTAGTTTCGTACAAACTGGGGACAGGTCTGGTCATTGCTCGGAGGTCAGATGGAACGTGGTCAGCCCCATCATCCATCTTTTCTGTTGGCTTAGGGTGGGGTGCTCAGGTAAAATCAGTGGCAGAAATTCTTAAGTGATACACTTCCAAAGAATAAACTTCTTCTTTTTTTCTTTTTTCTTTTTGATGTAATAATTAAGTTATAATTCATTAGTTCAGATGATAATGAAAGAGATGCAGAAGGCTGCTACATATTAGTCTCTAGGACAGCAAGGACAAACTATCATTCAACACAGTTTGTTAACTGTGATTTTCATGTGTTTCCAGATCGGCGGTGAGCTTATGGATTTTATAGTTGTACTTCATGACTCAAAAGCTGTGAAGACATTCTGTAGTCGCATGCATTTTTCTCTCGGTGCTGGTTGCAGTGCTGCAGCAGGGCCTATAGGGAGAGTGGTGGAAGCAGATCTTCGGGCTGGAGATGGTGGTTCAGGCATGTGCTATACATACAGTTGTAGCAAAGGTATTGACTGTGCATTAGATTTTATTCAAATTTTAGTGATATCTTTTTGAAAAGTTCATTACTTTGTTAATGTTAATGATTTGTGTCTGCTTTTGCTGGAACTTTTTCAGGGGCATTTGTCGGTGTATCACTTGAGGGGAACGTAGTTGTGTCTAGAATGGATACAAACCTACAGTTCTATGGTGATCCTTATCTCTCCACAGCCGACATTCTGCTTGGGACCGTGGACAGACCAAAGGCTGCTGAGCCCTTGTATGCTGCCCTGGAAGACCTCTACCATAGTTTACGCTGTTAGTCCCAGTGGCCAGCACACACGGTTAGTTTCAGCACCCAATTCATGGAGTATCTTGCGGCTTCATACATAGCAACTCTGCGTACGGGTGATATTCATTATCCTGGATGAAAATACTGAAAGTTAAAGAAAGAATGTTATCTACATGCTTATGTTCCTTATTTGCACATACTGTCTTCATTAAATCAAATGTGTATTTTCATCTGTTAAACCACCCAGTCATTTATAATGTAAATACCCCTAATCACAACATGTAAGTATTGTGTGAATAGACAATTAATTAATAATTATGTGACCATCTCTGGTTTTCATATGCATTATGTATCTTTCTGGGGCAGAAACAATTTGTTGTTTGGCCGGCAATATATATCATTTTTTAAAAATGCTGGACTGGCAATTGGGCAGCTTATTGTT